CCGATCATTTTAATAATGCCGATAAGAGTTGACGATCCTATCGTGAATAAGCACCCCTCCCTATGATAAGGGTGGGTGCTTATTCACAGTAGTATACGGTATCTGCTTCTTCACATGTTACTGGAACTGGTTGCCAGATGCCTATTGATGTCTTCTTAATTAGACGCGCTTTAATAAAGTCTATTCTTTTCGTCCGTGCAATTTCACTAAATCTTTTCATTTCTTCACTTAGTATCCATTCACCGCTTATATCATGAAAAACACGATCACAGGCATTCGGATTTACAAATTGTGTCTTTCTTATCCGAACCCGAAATCTATGTGATTCAGTAATAAAGCTAGGACGTGTACGAGGCCCATGCGTTTCACCTTCAGAATATCCTATTACATTAAAAAGATTAGTACACAGCGTCACCAATTACGTGCCGCGATTTCCCAATGCTGCTGCGAAGGTACAGAAGGAATTAATGACTTGAGTGCTTTGTTTATTTCTTCAAGCATTGCATCATGGCCTTGATGCTTATTTGAAAGCTTAGATCGTGAAGTCATAATTCTTTCTTGGATTAACTTGCAAATTTCAGGCTTCAACCGTAATATTTGTTCTTCATCTGCAATTTCGATCGATCGATAAATAGGATGCCGCCTAGCAGACCAAATTGGTGCAAACATTCTCCGAGCCGCAAGTCTTAATGAAGGCCTATTAAAACGACTCCAGTACGGAAGTTAATGATTGCTTGTAAATAAAAAAAAGAGTTTCAATAAACTTCACAACGACTGGATTTCGTTTGGAAGGAGAATATTCTAAAAGACTATCTAAACCAAATCGCTCATGATTTTTCATTAAACTTATTATATCATTTTACAAATTACCTCGTTCCTTTTAGCAATTTCCGTCACGCACCTAATACGGTCTTGTTGGTCGGCAAATGGTTCATCTAACCGCTTCTTTAGTATCGCATTCTCAGATAGCAATTGCCGATTGAAACTTTCTAGCTCCTCTATCCTTTTCGAAAGCATTTCATACGCTAGATCAGGCAACGATACTTGGACTCCAGAATCGCAAAAAGTCTTTTCCAACACCGGCACCTCGTTATCTTAATCTTTTTCTCTCTGTTTCTTCCGAATCTAAAAAACTTGAATCTAGTTTAGTGGCTCGTTTAATATAAGACTTTTAACAATGATCTGGTTATAGTGCCTTTCACACAAAAAATAATTCTCTAGAGAATCAAGGAATACAGATAGTTCAGGATAAGATTTAGCCATTTCCATTATTCCTTTTGCTGCAGCACTAGCTGACGCACGACGCCATCGTTGATTTTCCTTAGTCTCGCATTCTACTAAGACTAACTGACTTTCGACAAGAGAATCGAACAAACAAGGCAAGTCTTTGGCTTCTAGTCTTGCATTCATTATGTACGTAGTGTAATGTTTAAACTGGGTTTAAGAGAAAACTGTTTTCTAAAGTTGCGTGGATCCCCGTGGATTCTGAGACAATATGCTCGTAAAAGTATGTTGCTACCGTTAGTTTCGTTTCTTATTTGAAGTATTCGATCGATAAAGCGTCATCAAATTCTCTATGCAAAAATTATTGCACGCCGAAATCTCTCGAACATTAAAACTTGTTTGGTAAGGCCTTGTGCAAAATATTATAACAAACTAATTGTGAATGTAAAAAGAACAGTGTATGTTCTCATCCCAAGCATGAGATATATGCTACGGCATGTCCAGGGAAGGGGGAAACAAAATTCAGAAAAGTACCAGAACGCTTAACGAAATCCGCATACGCATTGATGTGTCGTCACTGCTTGTATAAATCTGATAACGATCCTGAATATGTCGATTCACCCAATTATCTGCTTCCTATTGAGAAGCTATCGAATGAAAATATAAAAAGGTTTCAAATGTATTACGCAGCGATATCATTTACTGAGTCTCAATTTCAGGAACTCGAATCCGCATACCATGATGTGTGTGCAGAGCGAGGCTGGGTATGTAAACTTATCACTGGATGTTAACAGCCCACTAAAATGATCAATTTTTATTAGAATTGATACCTTTGAAGGTATAATGAGCGCAAGTTAGCATTTGCTAGACCCACTTGTATAACGAAGATTTTTTTTTTATATATAATGAAGATCTTCGTTATATAGGCCCATTATGTTGTTCTGGCAAATCTACATTATAAGCATTATAACCAGATTTCTTAATGAAATTTCGCTATATTGATAGCCAGCCAAAATGATTGGTTTAGGGAAAATCTTCATTATAACAGTTCGTTATTAATAAAATATTAATATATGCTTATTTAAGTTAATGTCTACTGTTCATTATCTTTGTTCTCAGGGTGAATGTCTAGCAAATTACGAAGCCAATTACAAATATGCGTAGCGACTAAATAGCTATGCATGCATTATACTAACATAGTTATTGTATATAAACAATGATCAGTCAAAAATGTATGAAGCCAAAATTGTGAAACCCCCCCCAGAGATTGTTGTAGCCATCGCCTTTTCTAAACAGATTGAAGAAGCATACGTAAATGCAACCACAAACGGCTAAAGGTCGCAATATGGAATTGTAGAAAAAATCAACGCAAGTGGATTTCCACTTGCATTATTGCTTAATATTAATGGATACAAGGAAAATTACAGAAAGTAATAAACTTATTCGAACGCATTTACTCATAGAATTCTTCTAGGCATTTAGACATCCCCAAAGTTTATTTTCGCTAATAAATACTTTGCTGAAATCAACGCCGCACGAAAAACTCGCGCATTTATTCTATGGCATATCAAAATGGCCATTATTTAACCTTGTTTACAAAACAAAAAGGAACAGCGGAAGTTTGCATATATTAACGAAAATGACCTTAAAGTCACCTAAATTGAAATTGTTACCTGATGATAACAATGCTATAGTTTCGTAAATTCTAACCTCACGCGAATGGTTGTCGATATCGTTGTCAAATTCGATGAGAAGCAGTTAATTCAAATTTTGTAATCGAAATATTAGTTTTAAACTACCATTACAGTTATAATCAACACGTGACCATTAAGATGATCCTCTACCGGCAAATTTGCTAGTTAGAAGCCATTAACTCCACACTATTTAACTGGAATGGTCCGCATTCCAAATTTCGTGAAACACACGAAAACACATATTCTCTTTCAGACAACTACCCCGGTTCGATGCAACAAATCAATTCCATATATACGTGCATTTCACCGAACGACACATGTTTCTTCACAAGAATATTACAGTGTGCGAACGCCGAAAGGCGAAAACTTCCGTCTTCATTTAGCCAAATCCAGACATGTAGTTGGTATAAGGTAGTCACGGAGCGGAGGAAGAACTGTTATTTAATATGACTTTGCCATATGCCGCTCTTTTTGATAGATTGTTTATCCTAAATTGACTGACTTTAGAACCACAAGAGGTACAAGAGAATACAATGAGGATCGATTTCGGATATTAGTCTTGGACTTGGCCGTCCCAGAGGGTAAACAGGCACTTGCTGAGAAGGCGACTGGCGAACCTGCAACAGATGGTTATGTACAGGATAATAGAAAGACGGATCAAAGTTGTTATTTTGCAGTATTTGACGGGTGAGTTGGTACCATTTGTTTGATTGCAATTACAGGTGAGAGCTCGATTTTGTTGGTTGATCCGTGATGTATGCATTGTATCTGTAAAATTAGTCATGGAGGTGCCAATTGTGCTGATTATTTAACTGGTAATCTTCACAAGAGAATTGAAGACGTAAAAGCATCTGATGTAGACGACGTTATAGTACAATTTCGAAACATTGGAGGGTAAGCAATAATACGATCTAGCTTGCTTGGTGCAGTGCTATTATTAATAGCCATTCTCTTAGTTATCTACTATTATTAATCTGCCTTGTTTTCTATTATAATTTAAGATATTTCCATCGATTCAATCCCAGGATTTTAAATTCCCTCACCAGCCCAGACGTAGCCAAACCTCCTCCTCCACCATCACGCTCTCGTTCAAAAGACCGAAATGATACAAAAAAGCCTGCAGTCAGGATACCGCACAATTATTCCTTATCAACTAGTCACCCAACAAACAATCCCAACTCTTCGCCTTCTCCTCCGGGATCACAGTCTCAAGATCAGTCGTTAACGCTAGAGCAGCGTTTAACTCTGGCTTTTCTTAAAACTGATCTCGAATTACTCGGTCATGTAGGACAGTCCGTTGGTTCGACAGCGTCAATAGCTTTAATTCGATCATTAGACAACTTTCCATTCTGGTCGAGCGAAGAATTAGACATTACTGTTGCCCATATTGGAGACACGCGTGTTTTGCTGTGTGATGTGCCATCTGGGAACGCTATCTCGTTAACTTATGACCATCACCCAAATGCAGCTACTGAATTTGATAGATTACGAAAGTCTGGAGGATATATTATTACTGACTCATTTGGATCAGATATGGTTTTGGGTGAAGTGGCAAATACTCGAGCTATGGGTGATTCAAAGATGAAAAAGTATGGCATATCGGCAGAACCGGAAATTGTTACTCGTAGAATTATTGGAAAGGATTCCGCATTTCTTGTATTAGTCTCTGATGGAATAACGTCCGTTATGAGTAACCAGGAGATAGTGGATTGTGTGAGTTATCTGCGAATTTGTTAACTCGATGGCAACTTGAAATCTAAACAAAATGTTCATTTGAACAGGTGAAACTAGAAGGTGATCCAACGACAGGTGCAATAAAATTAGTGGATTTTGCAGAGACGCTTGGATCCGAGGACAATATAACGGCTATGGTAAGGATTCGAATGCTAAAGAATACAGCAAGATTTGTTATAAGCAACAAAATACTGAATTTCTGCAAACATAGGTTGTGAGGTTGCCTGGTTGGGGCTCCCCAATGCCAGACCATACGATAGATTTACGTAATCATCGATTAGAAAGTGATGCACCTCGTATCAGACGACGCACGTGATTATGCGCCTATCTTTTTCTCTGGCTTTATTATTACACATCCAAAATGCATTGTTCCATCGTTGATGTATGATCCATATTCTCCTTCTCAATACAAAGGCTCACCTCAAATTCTCGCAATTGTCTTACGAAACCTGCGTTAGGCTTTACAACTTGTCTCTTTTGTTTGACAATGCAAAACGCTTGCTCATAAGAGATCCTTTGTGAATGCATCAAGAATGCAATAACAATAGAAGTTGACCTACTCACACCCGCTTGACAATGCACAAGCACGCGCCCACCATTCTCTTTCGCTGATTCAATGAATTTAATGCAGCCATCAAAATGTTCAGATATACGAGCAGATGGCATGTCTGCTATTCTGATTTTAAGATACTTGGGCGGCAGAAAGCTCGGCGATCTGGAATCAACAAGCGGCCGCGTATGTTCGTCGGTAAACGTACCATCTATACGAGAATTTAAATGGGTTTCAGACGCTTCAACCTTTAATTTATCGTCAGTCTGTTTATTCATGCTGAGTCTTTGGAATTCCTGCTTAATGGTCTCACTTGATTCCCAGAAGTTGGAAGACCCAGCAAGATTAATTACATGTGTAATTGAAAGATCTATTAGATGTGGAAGCCACGCAGAACTGCTAGCATCGCCCAAGTAAAGGAAGCCAGGAATAATGGTTGATGGTGGGTCAGACGACCAGGCACAACTTTTGACATAGTTATCGAGGAATGGGACAATTGCCAGTCGAAGATTCGCATTTGTGAACCGAGAAGCTAGCGATTGCTTGTCAGATGGTCCGTCGGCCTCGGACGAATTAGTCTCATCGACTTTATTTTCAGACATTGAAAACCACTGCTGAACATTGCTCAAACTTGGATGATTTTATAGTTGTCCGCAATGTAACTATATAACGAATTAGAATACTCGTACATGATCATGGGAACTCCGTGTCTCAGGAAACAGTCACACAAAGTTTGATTTTTTCTTTGATAATCGCTAGCGTTACTAGTGCGATTAACGGTACTTCCTCTGTAAAAATAATAATTTTGACCCACTTTGTTTACCCAGTTGAGGGTTGTGTGACGGCAAAATTTTTTTACGTTAATCAACTGATTTATTCACAATAGTCCGCAACACGGCAACAAACAGGAACGATGAGAATCAAAAAGCTTAAAGTGCGACCACGGAAATTAGAGCAAGTCGGCCCATGCACAGCTGAACTAGCGACGTTACTAACATGCTGGACCAATAATAATGTCGACAGTCCCAAATGTAACCAGTCGGCGAAATCACTGTCAGAATGTATGCGCGCAGCGGTTAGTTTCTCTAATTCGGTTCTATAACTTTCAACGTATCTCCAAATGACTCAAAATGATTCGCATTTCTGTTTATAGGCAATTAAAGGATCAAAACCGCCGAATACAATAAATTATCATTTAGGGCGGCTAGGAAAGTTGCTTTGAAAGAGGACGTAATTAGAATTAGATCTACAAGTCGTTGAGTTGCAGTTTCTGTTATTGTTTACTGGGAAACGGCAAAAAAAATTCATATATTACAACTTATTACTGTTGCTTGATTTTGTTATCGTAACCGTTATCAACAAATCATACTTTTTGCCGAAAAGCGTAAATGCACAACTTGTATGCTGCCTCATCCCCCCGTCTTTGGTGTCTTTGACTATTACGTGAACTTGCATATATTATAATAGAATTTGTAATATAGACACAAGACAATTTTATTTTTATATAACGTGCTGCTTAGTGTGAAATGGACTCCAGATTCCCCTCACACTTTCGGTCGTCGATAACACGGGCTTCTTGAACCGTTTGTCGGCCTTTTTTCCTGAAGAGTCGCGGATCTGATGCACTTTTTCTGCAATCGTGGCCGTATCCAGATTTCGTACACATATTACTTTGTCGTTCCCATTTACTTGCGAAAAGGAATTGAAATTAAAAAAACTCGTATCGACTTTCATAAGATCAGTATAATAAAAAAGAACTTACGATATATGCCACGGATAACGGGATGCTTGGACGGTCTTGGTTTTACAACAATTTCAATCTGTGGGTTCTTGCGCGCAAATTGTACCAAGCCATTCTTCAGATATTCACTAGCCAGTTAAAGTAAAAAGACGGGTACCGTTAAATACATACGGATGCTTCCCTTTACTCTTAATTAATGATCTTACATCATTCCTTGACTACTGCCGCTTCTCTCACAATAATGAAATACCATCTTCCGACATTGAAAGATATATGCACCGACACCGTTTCTCGCGACAGCAATTTTTGCTGGTCGAAGCGGTACCGAAGGCATCGTTTGGGCTGATGGGAATAATTGTAGAAAGTTCAAGATGCAAAGTCACAAATTCTGCACGTGCTGTCAGTAATACAAACAGCTCAAGTAATGTGATTGTAACCAGGACATTTGACATATTAATATTTACCTTATCTTTTCCCTTCCCACTCAATCGTAATAATATGTACACTCTACTCAAAGGCTTTTATAAATATTTTGCACGTAAAGAAGAGTACTACGTACTGCTTCTGGGACTTGACAAAGCGGGGAAGACGGTATGATTACGTTTCCAGATTGGCTAATCTCTAACTTGGTTGACGTCAAGAATTCTGCAATTAGGCCAGGAAATTCCCTGTATAATAATCCTTGGTCAATACATTTATTCAGACACTCTTGGAGCGAATAAAATCTATATTTCTTGGAATTCTCGGACTCCCGCCCGACAGAATTGCACCAACAGTTGGCCTGAACAGTTAATTGCTTTCCCATTTCTTCTCCAATTTGCATTTCTGTTTTCAAATACAAACTTAAAACGTTTCCCATTAGTTGGTAGGATAGAAGTTAACAAAGCTCGACTAAACTTTTGGGATCTTGGCGGTCAACGCGATTTACATAGTATCTGGGAAAAATATTATACTGAATGCCATGCAATTGTGTTTGTAATGGACGCAACTGCCAAAGATCGAATAGAAGAGTGTAAAGAAGTGTTTGGTTGAGTATCAGCTATATTTATCAGAGAACAAGTATCGTTTAATTGTTGTATCAAGTTTCCACGGACTAAATAGGATTTTCGTTTTTCTACACAGAGAAGATGATAACAAATCATATTGTCGAAGGAATCCCAGTATTGATGTTGGCTAATAAGCAAGACAGCCCCAACCCTTTGAAAGTCGAAGATCTGAAAGAGATTTTCAGTAAAATTGCTTTAAAGCTTGGAGCAAGAGATTCTAGAGTCTTGCCAATATCTGCATTGCAAGGGTTTGTATTTTTACGATTGTGCGTCTGCTGTTATTTGATTGCATTTTTCAGTATTTCTAATCAGCCATGGTTGTTTTAGTGACGGTGTTCGTGAGGCTGTAGACTGGTTATATATCAGATTACAACGTAATAAACAAAATCGACCGCCGATATTGAAATGATTCGTTGTGCTAAAGTGAAAGGAGGAAGTTCGGGACGCATAGGCTCTGCCGGGCCTGCGAACGCCAAGGCCGGAAGCTGCATGCAGAGAGGAGGTCGACCCCTTCCGAATCGACAATCTGCACTTGTTTAAAGTGCGAAGGGGAATGGTCATGATTGTTGAAGCCGTGATTCCGATATTTATGACTTTCAATTGTATACGACTTTCGGTAAAACGTGTTTCGGCATACAGTGTAAATTACTAATAATACCAGAGTTGTATTTCATAATAGCGAATAAAAACAATACCTTTAGAGGAGGAAATCACATATCATATCTTGAATGGATTAATAAGTCTGCAATCGTGAGTTTAAAACTAATATGGTATGACCTGCTGCAAAAAGGCAGTCATATCTCGAGCCTCAGCTGTACCGAAGGTGTGACCCAAGCGGGGGTAACTTTTGAACGTTACGTTGTATCCTTTACTTGTGAGCAGCTCGCTTGTCATCTTTCCTATTTCGAACGGAATAACCTGATAGACCAATATTAGTGTTAATTTAAAAGTATGCTACAAGAGAATTGATGCGGAATCAAAGTATCATAAATAGATAGTAACAAACCTCGTCTGCGTTACCGTGAGCAAGGAATATAGGAGTGGTCTTATTTGCATCCGCTGCCATCTTTAGAGGTTGATGAATATTAGTAATGTGCCAAATCTGGGTCATAGGATTTGTTCACAATCCAATACCAACCGATAGAATCTTGTTTCTCGAAGGGACAAATCCGCTCAGTCTACAAAAACAAAACAGAAATAACAAGTTAATCGCATACACGTTCACTTTAATATAGTCAAAAGCATAAATGAAGATTACCCTATTATTCCAGCAAATTTATATTCTGAAGTCAAGCTAGTGGCCAAAGCGATTGCACAGCCCTGAGAAAACCCACCAACAACAATACGTTGTGCAGGGATCCCTGAATTGACTTCGTCACGTATGAGCCTGCTTACTGTATTATGTATTCGCATTATTGACCACTGACATCAGATAGTTTTACAAAAAAACGACATAGAACTTACTAGAAGTCATTGAATTTAAAATTCCGGCCTCATCTTCGCCCGCACCGAGCATCCTTTCGAGATGTCCTAATTCAAATATATCGAACCTTTTGATAAAATTTATTGATATAAAAATCATTAGCATGACAGCGAACATAATAAGTACGTGAAAGTAACAAGTTCATACCAGCCGGGCATGTGATAACCGCCATTGATAGTAATGGGTCGGACTGGACTGTATATAAGACGTAAACCCACGTTAACAAACTTGATAGGGTGAAAGTTACAAGGCGAATATTAGTAAAGAGACTCACGCATTCGGCAGAATGAATTTAACGTGTGGCATCGCCTTCCTGATCTGGTCAGCGGCTGGAGCCCATCCTTCACCACTGTCACCAAGTCCGTCTATTCTGACCAACTCGTTAAGAATGTAAAAAATAAAATGCGACAGGAATTTGTCAATGCTTACGAAGAAAAAACACGGTTGCAGTGTGCTGAGGTCCGCACGCCTGCTGAATAACGCTGGTGAGTTCTGAAGACATAGACATTAGGCGTCTAAACCGAGCAGGGTACATATCCTTTTTCCTGTATTTCCTTGACCAATAGCAATAGTTATCTTAATCTGCCGATATTTTACTATTTTTCGGCGCGTAACAGTAAAAAGATTTTGAATATTGCATGCGGGCTACGGATATCCAAGTCAATTTCATTATTAGTAAAAAAAAGAAATGCAGAGAACGGAGCAATAAAGGTGAAAATATAACTACTCTTTTCATGCAGAAATTTAAGAGAGAAAGTGAAGATACAATATGCATGCGTAAGCAAAAACTCTTCTCTGATCTGAAAGAGGAATGGACCTTAAGATTAAAACACAGGTGTATCATAATTAAACGGGATATTAATTACATATTGTAATAGTGATTATTAAGGAAATTAGAACGTATCTTTGCAAAATGGGTAGGCGCACATTCATAATAGCAGAAGCATTTCTTTTCATGCCCAAATGATCAATGCAAAGTATACGCTCTATGCACTCCGCGGGTATGAACACGACACGTTTTATTGATATGACTTCTACTTTGACGCACACGAAAGATGCCAACGTAAAACTGATCTGAAATTATTACCTAATATGACTCTCGTTATTACCAGAATCCCCAACATTCATCATATTATCCGTTTGCCAAATGCTTATGAAAGGAATGGGTCTAATAGTTTTTTGGGCACCTGAGAACAAACAGCAAGTTCTTATTGACAAACACGTTTTCTCTAAGACTTGTCCTTTTAATGCAGAAACACCTTTAGCATTCAAACGTATGGCGCGGACAAACCATTGCACAAAGACGAGCGACTAACTTTACTTCCCTTTGCAAGCGTGGTCTTGCCGAAGAAAAAAGAAAATAACGACAATAGCTGTATCAAGTAAATAATGTGATAAAAGAACTAAGTATAATCATTTCAAAATATTATTTTACAAACTCAATAAACAAACGAGCGGGAATGACGTTAGGCGATAGTAGTCACTTAGAAGATTTATAGACAATTTAGCCAATGGGTTAATAAAGATGCAATGGGTGAAGAGAAAGAATACGACAACAAACTGGGGTATAATAATAAATTCCATACAATCCTAACACCTTTAATGCTATGAATGATCACTTTTGTAATATATCAACAATTTGTTGTTTAACATTTTTTATTGCTACAGTACATTTATTTCAAGTAAAACAATAAAATCTGACAAAAGCATCCCAACCGTTACAGAAGATATTCCTTATTTAAGACTAAATAAACTTTTAAGTTATCGGCTAAACTGCTTTTACTATTCCACAAAAACAAACAACAGATGATAACAATAAATAAAAAACGCTAAAACGACCGATAATAAATATTAAACGTCGAATCTGTCTCCCACTTAAGATGTGGGTTCGGGTTTACCGCCACTCGCGGTAGCAGCGGGAGCAGTAACATTGGCACTGGTAGGAAATTTGCAATTTCTTTCTAGAATAGGTACTACTTTTGCAACTCCGAGAATTCTTTCAGCACCTCCTCCATTATTGAATGCAAACTCTTCCACGACAAAGCAGCAATTGTCTCTGAGTTTGTCAATTGAGCCAGATCTACTTGCGATGATTGGCTTGCCGAAAGACTGTTCGTCAAGGTCAATAAGGTCGTCGTCGCCGGGAGTGGGGCTGGTGGCTGAGCTGCAACTGCCCACGTGAATATCATACACGGACTCAACTGATCCTGTTTTTATTGCACCCAGAACATTAATAAATCCAGTGATTTGCAAAGTGTTTCTAGGCGTCTCCGTGAATGATAGAAAACCGTCGAATGTGTTGCCATTATAACCGGCTCCCATACCGCTTGGAATTCCTCCAAACGAATCAGTAGGCAAATTCAAGGGATTGTCGTCTGGTTTAAATACACATGCAGAGATAGGACAGCATTCCCTAAACCCTCTCTTTTCAAGAGGCGAGGCATTGGTTGGTGTAGAAATTACGGCGAGGAAGGTAATCAAGAGAAAGACCAAATAGACGGGTTGACTCATTTTCGAATAAAGTAACAAGAAAACTGTTATAAGAAGTGGTTGATTGCTGTAAGTCCTTGTTCGTATAGAGTTGTCGACTCGTTGTTGAACTGTCGGGAAAGTGCTTGAATTCCTTTCGTTTATATAGCTACAAAAGAAGGAAATCAAAATATATCGAAGAATATTTTAACTATTGACAGAACAGACGTATTATCAATTTAATGTTTTTCTATTTGAGGCTTGGGGGATCGCGTTAAACAAAGGGTTTCTACTTGAACGTTAGCCGATAACAATCAATATTGTCTTGAACTATACTCAATACGTCGAAACCCGCGCCGAAAGAACTTGTATCTGGTTTAACAGGGCGTTCTCGAACAATATCGATGATAGAAACGACAGCAAGTATTTTTATGTTTCCGCATGAAATCTCGTCATCGAGTTATTATTATCGCCAAAAAAGAACAAAAAAAAAACTTAATTCAGCCGCAAGTTTTATTTTACAGAACCCATTTATTGTCATGGCTATTCCTCTTTATAAAAAATGTATGTTATCTATCGCATCGGAATTTATTTTAAGTGTCTGCATGGAAATCTCAAAGTTTTCATCGAGTCATTGCTAAATCAGCCGATAAATCATGAACCACACATATTCTCGTATCAGAATTCAATGTATAATATTTTTAGGTGTCTGCATGGAAATCTCAAAGTTTTCATCGAGTCATTGCAAAGAACGTTAATTCGGCCGATAAGTTTCAATACGCGTATTTCTAAAGGCTGCATTTCAATGATAAACAAATAGATGCCTTGACGTCTGTTCTGATTGAGTAAAAAGAGCAAGAAATTAGACATTGGGATTACATACACAATTTCTTTCATGTTTACTTGGTTATTCGAGAACGTTCATTCACGTTACGTTTAAATAATAGTAACACAAAAGTATTTTACTAATTGATCGACAAAAATCCCCAACATTGGAAAGTTCTTTTTTTCGATTCCGTACATACCGCATCAAATGTTTGAGCAATACGAGCGTATGTTACACATATAAATACAGTACATGGCAATATAACAAGTTGTGTAATAAGCAGATAAAGTTAATAAGCACTCTTTTACTTTAGATACAGTATATGCAAAACAAGGTGGTGTTCATAGGTGAGCTGTAATGGGCAGTGATTATTGATCGCAATATCCACAATCATCTATTACTATTTTAATTAACAGTTAGAATATCGACAATTCCTTAAAGATTTTTTCTGCAGGTCAAAACAATTGTACTTTGGCTACACATTCCTTTTATGGTTTTACAACTGTATTCCTTAACTCGATATATTCTCATCGGCTTTTTACGTATTCCATACCTCCAATATTGAACAACATACGATTTTATCCACACATATACGCAATTATGACGATAACAAGACTAAGAACGGAAAGTTTGGCGGTGATTATGAAAGACTGTGTTACAACAAAAACTTGTCGAGTGCGTACTCTTAATTAATACAATGAGATTAACAATTAACACCGTTATAACGTATGATGAGAGAATCGAAACAATCGAGTATGCAACTTATTAGGTGCAAATTACGGACCCAATTAACCGCTTCCATTTCAGTTAAGGAATTATAATGTTAATAGTAATAGAAGTTGTTATAAACTCATGGTTCCATTGTAACTACCTCTTTTAGAATTGTTTGTTTGGTTGACGTTGTGTTATATAGTTAATTTGTGATTAACATGATTTGCAGACGATCGTAATCGGAGTACCTGAATTAAACTTAAACTAGAATTATCTTTTTGGGGGGACTGCGCCCCCCTCGTACTTTTTATATTGCGATAATGAAGATTTATTATTTAACCTAGATTTAGAATTTTATAGGGGGCTTCGCCCCTTGTGGCTGATAAGAAGTGTCACTTGCGAATACGTTTAATTTTATACGGTAATAAATTTATATATTTTTATTGCGATGCTGAAGTCCGCATGTTCGACTAATCGCCGCGGGCTCATTACCTCAAATTACGTTCATTGTCACAGATACATATTACCTTTTCAGAGAAGCAAAACTATCATAACTACGTTTGTTGAGAAGGGGCACACATGATAAAAATACACAGCAGATAAGGGAGGGAACGATTAACGAATACATCATTACAAAATTTTTGTCTGTTAGAGTCTCATCTGATGTATATAGTCGCGTTATTGTGTATTTGGGCTGGATATTTGGCTTGTAACCAAGGGAAACATCGGATATGTTGTATAATTTGGTGCATCGAAATAATAGTAATTTTTATTTACAAGAATAATAGAAATATGTAAGTTATCAGATTAATTTTCACGTGATTTTTTACTATGTTGGTATACTTGATAAGTTAGGAGAGCGATGAACTAAATAGTTTAATTGTGAACAGTATCATTTTGGTTGTGCAGCAAAAGACATAAGAGTAGTTAGCGAAAGAGATTTGGATAAGACTTTATTTGTTAGTAGCAAAATATAGATAGAAGTTTTGTCAAGACGATCATTGGTGTTAGGAATCGTGGATTTGGATAAGAGTTTTATTGTTACTGTGTGTAGCACAAATATGGTCATTCAAACTAAATAACAATCTTTATTGGAATCATTATAATAAATATTTGCGGAAATGGAAGATACGTAGTCATCGGTTTGGTCTGTGTATGTACGGTAACTTACTGTATTGACGAACTTAATAAGGTAGAGCAAGCTGGGAAAATGTATAGTATAGTAGAAGAACGAATGAGCGAACAATGAGTAATTACAGTAAATAGTTTATTTAGTATATATAGCTTTCTGAGAAAAGTATCATTTTGAATAAGATATTGTTATCGGTCCTTCTGTGTCGGAGGAGTAATCAAGCTTGTTTCAGTAGTCGTGCAAGAATATTACGGGAAATGGGAAATACGAGTTATCGGTCTAATATGTACAGTATGTACAATAACTTCCTATCGCTATGTTATGTGCAGTATAGAATAGTAAGTCAATAGAATTAAATAGGTTTAGTGGA